TTGTGTAATGTATGATAGAATAAAACAAAATTCAGAATTCTTTTTAAAAGTGATATTTGTTTTAATTTTTTTATTGAAGAATTCTGAAACTTTTTAGATTCATTTCTCATACATAACACAATGCAATAAAACAAAGTATACATGTGCATCGACAGGGTTCTTTCCCAGCATACATCTTCCAAGTTTCACACCATGGCTTCATGGGAATGCATAGTGTACTGGTATGCAAGGGGCACTGTCTGGTATTTCAGTGATTGCAGAAGAATCTATGATCCAGGGCTCATTGAAGTCAGTGGAAAGACTTCCCCCTAGTTCACATTAGAGATGGATCTGAACACTGTGGAGAAGCTTGCAATACAAACCCAGTTCCACATCATAACTTTGCAATCGACTCCTTTCTTTATAATGAACCAAACCAAAACCCCAGAGCCAAACTTTTTTTTTCTTTTTAAAGCTTTGGAGTGTTTGAAATCCAGATCCATCTGTTGGGGCTTGGGCTCAATTCTAGTGCGTGTTCTGTGTAATTCAGACACAAACATTGCATTTCCCAACTTCCAAGTGCTCAGCCCAGCCATTGGCCTCTCTCATCCTGACCCTAGTCAGTCCCTCCAGTGCTGTGTTTGGACCAGGCCAGAGAGAAGTCACCAGCAAATAGCTACAGCAAACCTTTTCATTAAACAGGAGCCCAATGGGAAATGATAGTGACCTCAAACATTTAGAGGGATGAGCTAATGGACCTAGTCCTTTAGCTTAGGGGCAGCAGCACATGCTAGTCTCTGTATGTGGTCTGCCTGGTTGAGTGGGACAAAGCCCTACCTTCTGCCAGTCAGAGACAGACTTGCTCAGTGCGGCCCTATCGATGAGTGGCAAATTATTTCCACAAATCTAAATCCATATTCAGTCATCCTGCTATTTCTTGCTGAGCATCTCGTATGTAGTTCTTTTTTGCAGTCTCATGTTCGTAGGGTGCAATGGGAACTGAAAGCGCTCGAGCACCTCTTAGGAAGCACTCAGCTGTAGGTAAGCAGGAGAACAAGGAGCTAGTTTTTATGAAGGAAGACTTAGCTGCTTTTCTCCTAGTGATTCAGAGTGCAGTGTTTCAGAGTCGCCATTCTTCCTGCATGATGTCTTTCCCTGAGGAGATGACAGAATTTCACAATACTTACAGTAGTGAGCATCCCTTGATTAGTGAAATACTGGATGGCAGTACACTGTTTAATACTTGATGCTGTTGGGCAGCAGTCAAATCTGCAGCACATTTTCTGATTATGGTGTAGGACATAGCTTCCAAAAGGCAAGCAAGGAGCTGCTACTCTATCTTGTGATAAGCTTCCAGCCCTACTGAACTCACTGCCAGCACTAAGCAAGCTGAAATCCAGAGCACTGCTTAATACTCTGCACTCCGACAAATGTTTCTCTATAACCACGTGGGGGTGGGGTTTTATGTGGGCAGCAACAAAAAAAACCAGAACAGTACACATGGGAGGAGGAAGTCATGTAGGAATGCTAAGTTGACATTTCTTATTGGCAGTCTGTTTGCCTCTTGCTACTTCCTTCTAGTGGAAGGTTCAATATTTAATGATCTTGAGGGGATGGGGAAGAGGTTTCTCTACAAATACTTAGGAACAAACAGAGACTGCTGAAAGATTCTGCATTTTGTTTGCCATGAGGAAACTCCACTCTGTCTGCATTTAGTGTCATGTTCCTGGGAAGCAGGCACCTGGCTTACCAAATGAAAGCGGTACTTGCAAAGGAATTTGGCAGACAGCAGCAGCAAATCATTGCAACCCAAGCCAGAGCTTTGGTAGATAAGAATGTAAAAGGTATTGCACGAAAATAAGTGGTGATTCAGAGGAATGTTGTAGATTTGAAAGTTTTTAAGTTGATGGATATTAAGCAGCCTTACAGGTGACTGTAATGACCTGCAAAGATCCTCCTCTCCTCTATTCACAAACATGTAATTTAAAATAATCAAATTTTAAATATCCCTCAACTATCCCTCCCGGAGGGAGGGATAGCTCAGTGGTTTGAGCATTGGCCTGCTAAACCCAGGGTTGTGAGTTCAATCCTTGAGGGGGTCACTTAGGGATCTGGGGCAAAAACAGTACTTGGTCCTGCTAGTGAAGGCAGGGGGCTGGACTTGATGACCTTTCAAGGTCCCTTCCAGTTCTAGGAGATAGGATATCTCCATTAATTAATTAATTAATTAATTTAAAAAATAAGAGACCATCACAAAAGAAACCATCCCAGGTTTTACAGCAGTTTTAATGCATTGCAGGATGGGGCTTGAGATGTTTAACGCTCAATCCTGTGCGGTGCTGAGAATCTCAGCAGGAGCAGATGCCTTGGCTCCCAGTCAATTCAGTGGAGGTTGAGGATACTTAGCACCTTGCAGGGGGTTCTCTTTGCAGGATCAAGCCCTTAGTGAGTGCTGTGTAGATACCAACATAGAACGTATGTGTTTAGTAGGGTGACCAGATGTTCTGATTTTATAGGGACAGTCCTGATATTTGGGGCTTTTTCTTATATAGCTGCCTATTATCCCCCACCCCCTTCCCAATTTTTCACACTTGCTATCTGGTCACCCTAGTGTTTAGTAAAGATGATTCTTGCTGACAGTAATTCAGCATGGAGGTTTAATAGATTAAAGACCAGTTCTGCTCTTAAAAATGACTCCTAGGCGCAGGAACTAGGAGTGCAGGGGGTGCTGCAGCACCCCCGGGCTCACAGCTGCCGGCCCCGCGCACCCGGGGTCCCAGCTGCCAGCCCGGTGCTCTGAGGCCACCCCATGCCTGGGGCTTTTCTCCTGGCCTCAGCTCGGGGGCTGGGGGGAGTGGACAGGGGTAAGGGGGCTGGCTTTCAGCACCCCCACCATTAAAAATGTTCCAGTGCCACTGAAATGACTGAGTAACAATGGCACTGGTATACTCCAGACAACTGGTCCCTGCGTGTATTCAGAGTTATCGTTTTTAGTTTCCTGGCTAAAATAAATTTTTACTACTCTTTAGTCCTGCTAATGTTGCAGACCTAATGCCGCTATGGGAGAGTGAACTGGATTCCAGTCTGGTTTGTGCATTGCTAACAGGACTATGAGCTAAGCTAAATTTGGATTGCAGAATCCTTTTAGTTGGTAATGAATCACATGGGGTAAAGTCTCCTTGCTACCCTCAATAGCCTGAAATTTGTTCTCTAGAGACATTTAATGAATAACAAATTTGCAAAAACTCAGTCTGATTGCCAACAACTCCCAAGCAGAGTGAAGTTAACTGAATACATTGTTCATTACAAATAGTTCATGCAGCTCCATTTAAAAATACATCATTTCACAACACTGTACCACATAGCTACCTAGTGAATACAGTACCTTAGCAGAATTTTTCTGTTAAGATGATCAGTAGTGAAGTAATGTAAATGTTAACATTTTAGACAGTCGTAATTAAGTTTCACATGTAACACCTCGTTGAATAGGTTGTCCAGGGGAAGAGCAACTTAAGTTCTTCTAGTTTTAGGAGCTTGATGGGAGCTTTGCTGGCTGAGGGTATAAAATGGATGCACTGAATCAAGGACTCCACCAGACATCCTGGATTTATTCACTTCTGGTCAAGTTGGGGCTGTGTTGGCTTTCTGGCAGCCTGGTGAAGGGGCAAATGCAGGTATTTTGTGCTACTGGAAGCTCCACAGCAGATTTTTCACAGTCGGGGAGGGAGCTTGTGGTGAATCTGTCCATCTGTGCATTTTGCTGCAGAAAACCAAGCTGGCACCAGTGCTGTGAAAGCTCAAGTACGAGCGCTTATTTAGAATTGGTAGTTCTAACAATGATTTCTTTGAAAAACGATTGTATGATTAGGTCTGCTAATATGGCCTTCAATCTCACTTTTCATAGTTGTTTCTATTCCCGGGGAAATTCTGTAGCACGTCCAGTAGGGGTGCGGGTATGTGGGCTGGGGCGCCCTGCAGCTGGGCTCTGGGGTGTATGGGGTGAAGGTGCCTTGGCTGGGGGGCCACCCCATGACTGGGTTCTATGGAGGAGGGGGTGAAGATGTCTGGGCTGGGGGGCACACTGTGGCTGGGCTCTGGGGGTAGGGACTGAGGGTGTCTGGGCTTGGAGGGTGTCCCGTGGCTGGGCTCTTGGAGATAGGGTGTACAGGTGTGTGGGCCGGGTGGGTGAGTGCCCCATGGATGGACTCGGAGGGAGGGGGGGAAGGGGTAGTGAGTGTCTGAGACCGGAGGGGAAGAGTTTTCCCCCAAGATGTGCCCAGCTGGCATGTGTGACACACCCACACTGAGGTTCCCAACAAAAGCGTAACAGAGAAACAGGAACTGGTTTGTCATAGAGGTTTCTTTACCTCTCTACTCTTGGAGGAATCTTTCTTGTTGTCTGTATTGTTACTGACATACTTGCTGACCAGTATTTTGAAATAATTTACCAAAATAATTGAAACTGGTATGATTATATTGTGTTATTTTGACAAATAAAATATGCAGAATTTTGCAGAAATTTTAATTTTTTGGTGCAAAATTTTTAATTTTTGACATAGAATTCCCCGAGGAGTAGTTTCCTGTACACTACCAAAACTGTTGATGACTTTATATGTTACATCCTTATTCTAATGAGATATTTCTATGCATTGTTGTAAATCTTAGGGCTAGTCATACCTTCCTTAAATTGCTTCATAAATCCATAGATATCGGTCTATCTATAAATGTTATCATAAACCTCTAATTTATCAATACACTTCAGAAATGGTCATAAATCCCAGACCTCTCGGCTAATCTCACCCCCACTTCCCATGCATCTATAAATCATGGAATATTTCTCTGAAACTAGAGCAGAAACTTCCTTCTCTCTTTTCTGTAGCCTTATAGGGCAATGCTCAGAGGGACTGTTACTCATATGAAATCAGTCAAGAGTAAAGAATTCTAAGGCCTGATCCTTTATGCTTTATTCAGGCCAAACTCCCAGGAAAGTCAAGAGCGTATTTGCATGAGGAAAGACTTACAGTGTTAGTGGCCCGGTCCAAAGCCCTCAGAAGTCAATGGGAGTCTTTCCAGAGCCCAGGTCCTTAGTCTACTTTTAAAGAAAAAAAATGTCACTCTTAATTGATCAGAACGTTTTTTGACATTTAATACAGAAGCAGTAAATCTTGTGCTTTCTGAGATGAACTTTGCCAATGGAGTCGTTTTTGCCCATTGGATTCAGAAAAGATTTCTGACTATTTGAGAACATTGCCTGGGATGGTCTGTTTTCTCGACAGTATGTCTGGTAAAGCACGTTGTCTCAGTCATTATGACAATATGCAAAAGAGGACTGCCTCGGTCACTGTGACATTGTGGCAAAGCATATTGTCTGCCTGTTTAATCAAAGGCCATGGTTTAATTAAGTAAATATTTTCCCCCTTTAAAAAGAATGGATTCTCATAAACATACAGGAACGCATGATGGGCTGAGCAGAGAGTCCGTGTCACGTACCATATTGTTTCTATTTTCTAAAGAAATTCCCATTCTTTGGAGCCAGAATTATTTATGACCATTAGAACACACTTCCTAAAATTGGTCCAGGACATAAAAACAACTGCATGCCAGCTGCTAGCTAAGAACAACAAATCTATTTATTTTCTGCATGATAATGTTGAGGGTATATTATTCTCACCCTGGCGTTCTTTGCCAAAAGCTAGAAAGGCATAGGAAAGGAATTCTCTGAGACCTTTTACAAAATCAGGATTTTTTAATGCAAAAAGACCTAGATTCTGTTGCTCAATTGCATCTATGCAACAACAGTAACTTTTAAAACTTAGCTTCTTTTTTTTTAAATGCCTTTAATAACTAAGAATTAGTAACTGCAGTGGGTGTTTAGCAGGTTTTAGCCCAGGGAATGTGATCAGATCTGGGTAAAGTTGTGCTGATGTGTGTTTTTTCAAAATGTTTTCGAGTCTGCATGCAGCCCTGCTAAAGGCGATGCTGTTTGAAGTTAGGAGGGAACCAGATGTGACACTAAGGCAGCTCTTAGAGAGACTAATATCTTCAAGGATTTGTTCCTCTTACAGGCTGTGATCATTTGGGACAGGAAGATTGTTTTTTTGTTTTTGTTTGTTGCTTTTTTGACAGCTGGATGTTTGTAAAAATTATTCATGAACTTTAGCTGATCATGGTCCCAGAGTACCCACCTACCATCCTTAGGCTGTTTGTTATAATAAGGCTTACCTCTGTTACAAGGCTACTATACTCTGGCTCTCAGCTCCAACTTATTTATCATCCTGTCACAATTATTATACTTCCAGGACCTGCTTGGAAATGGATTCTTTATGCTGTGTATGAAGGGTCTATCTGGGTAAAATGAATGAGTCGAACAGGAAAAATATTAACCTCACTGTGTATATAATAAGTCTCCCAAAGGAAGACAGATTCTGGTCCCTTTTTTAAAATATCTGCTAATGAGAATGTGGCTGAAAGGGATACTGCGAAATAGTGTGGGGCCCCCACATTTTGATATAGATCTTAAAACTAATGCACTCTGGCATAGGTGGGGGAATATCTTCTGGATTCTAAATATATCTTTAAAAGAAAATCCCATTACTCTGTCTGCCAACAAAAGTATCGCCACTGATTTGTGGGACCTGTCCAAAAACATCTTGCGCTCCCTCTGCTGGCCCTGTAGCAGTAGTTAACGAATATGCCCTAATTGCAGAGCAATACTGATATCAGTATGTGCTCGCTGGTGCACATACAATGAATTAAACCAAAATTACATGTTAGCTTCAATCTTGATTAGAACAATGGAGCTGGAGGAGGAAAGCCCATGAGAGTTTTCCCTGATTCAGAACTGTCCTGATGTTTGTTAAGCTGAAAATAATAACATTGGTGTATCTATTTGGCAGGGTTTTGTTTAAAGAGCTTGTTAACTGGAGGAAGATTACTCTTGTGTTGCTGACTGAACCTTATTCTGCCTTCCTTCCTCTCTCCCCCACAATCACTGTAAATTCCTCCCTTATGCTCTACAACTATATCCAGCATTAAGCCTAGCATACTAAAGTAACTAACAGGACCTTGAGGTAATGCTGATATACCAAGCAACCAAGACATACTTTAAACAGAGCGAATTTCTATGTGGGATACGTGTGTAGGTGACCACAGGTCTTTGTTTTAATTTAACTTGTTTATTCTTTTACTTCTAAATCAATATGCTTGTAGCAGTTGTTCATGTGATGGTGGATGGTCAGAGTTTATCTCCCTGTACAAAAGGCTGGGCTGTGGTTTTTGTAGGTGCCTTTCCTCATGTTTTTGGAGTACCTTAATGCACATTCTGTTACTAAATAAGATATTGGACACCAGCAGGAGAAAGCCCCAAGCCAGCAGTAAGGATGGAATCCCAGCCACATTGAATGGCAGAACTCCCATTGACTTCAAACAGGTTAGGATTTCACTCTTAAGTATTTGTTTACTTCCAAATAATTAGGCAGTGTTGGCATACCCAGGCCCAGTAAACTATGGGCCAAATTCATGCTGTAACGTTGCACTCTATATGATTTTATGAAAATATTCTAATGAGTGTGAATATAATGTAACTGGAATATGCTTCATGCAAAAGGTCTCTTGTAAGGTATCATTACAAAGCTTATAATCTACTGAGTGTGGCCATTCTATTTGTATAAATGTATCACTCTTGTATCTGAAACTAGAAAAATGAAATAGAACTCTGAGGTCCTATTGTAGTTATGCAAAGTGTGGGCCATTAATGGTGGTTTGGAATCTTGATGACTCCCATCAACCAGGACAATTGACTGTGGATGGCTCTGTTTGCTTGCAGGCCTTCCTGTGAGTCAGGCTGGGAGGAATGAGGGCTTGAAGTCTTACAGTGACATGTGATCATGTCACCTGAACTGGAAGCCATCTTTAACCTGGTGCTTTTCCATTGAGAAGGATGGGTGGGAACCCGGAGAGGAACAAAGGATTCCTGCCTTGTGCAAAACATAGGCAAAGAGA